CCGGCCTCCACAGCGGCGCCGGCCTCCACAGCGGCCCCCGGCCTCCACAGCGGCCCCCGGCCTCCACAGCGGCGCCGGCCTCCACAGCGGCCCCCGGCCTCCACAGCGGCGCCGGCCTCCACAGCGGCCCCCGGCCTCCACAGCGGCGCTGCCCGCCCCGGCTGCTGAACACGGTTCAGATCACGGCGGGGGCTACAGGCACGATGCTCGGCAGGAGCGTGTGCCCCCGCGCCCTACCCGCCGCGACACACGGTGCCGCCCAGGTAGGGAAAACCTCTTCCTATGCAAAGGTGCTTGGACATAATTTTCAGGCAGCATTTTACCTTTATTTTAGTGAGTTTATACTACAAGGATTTGAGAAGGAAGAAGAGGCCAAAAGCTTCTTTTTAGCGTGTGAAATTGAGACAGACACCTAAATAAATAACTATCTTAAACCGCCTAGCTCTTAGTCTATGTCTGTAATCTATCAGCTTTAAATAAGGGATAAAATGTTGCCCAAAAGACTAATTATAGTTATACATTTGTGTTTCCACTAGATTTACAAATCAAAATAGTTCTCAGTTTAAAAGATACAATTTGTATCAACAGTTAAAGGTACTTTCTGGTTCTTCAGGGCCTTACTTTAAATTCCAGCGAGTGTACCAAAATGATCAGCAGTAACATTGTAAACGAGTGATTCTTAACACTGAACAACATTACAATGCATGGAAACCTAAAACTGTAGGCAACTGACTATGTCACATAAATACATCTGTCATCAATTGCAAAATCTATTTCTATTTTATATAAAAAACGCTTACGAGGTGCTAGTAAAACCCATGACTTAAAACCAGAAATATCCCTTACTAGTACTAAAACAGACCCCCTTGTCTGTTTCTAAACCTACACTAATTGTCGCAAGAGTTAGGCCTACACGACACCACAGGCCAAAAACTAGTTTCAAGAACATACGCAGTATTTTATCTCCCTCAATTCCCTTCCTCCCTCATCCCCAACCAAAACAGAAAGAAAAAAAAAGTTTTAAGTTATTATTTTTTCAGCTACAATATCATTACCATAGTGCAGTTAATAAATGTTGCATATCCTCAACACACACAACCTTTTCAGGCCAGCCTTGATAAATAGCAAGAAAATCCAACAGTATCTTAAATACAAAACTTGCATTGAGATAATTAAATTATTTAAAAACAGGTAAATATTTTATGAAAAGCATTTTTTTTTTTATCCAGTATACTTGTGCAGCAACACAAAGGAAAAGACATAAAACAACTAACCTGGAAACCTAAGATTTCAGGCCCATTTCTACTGACCAGAAATACGGGCAGCTGGATAACAACATCTGGGAGTGGAACACGGGGAGCTGCTTTCCGGCAGTTCGGAGCATCTGCAATTTCTGCTCGGCTCAAAGSGGGCTGCAAACCTCAGCACCTTTGAAATTCAGGCAATAAGGCTTTCACCTTATCCATAAATTAGTAAAAAAGACTATTTTTTTTTCCTCTGATTGCATCTGATATTACTAATCAACTGCATAACAAAACACGTAACTATTCCAACAAAACAAGCAATGCAAAGTGCCATACTATAAATTACTAATATATTGTTACCCATTTCACCATTGGCTGGTAACTTAATTTGTTTAAAAAATAAAGTCAGTGCTGTAGTAAACCTTTGTTTTCTATAAATAGATGATTATAGCACAAAAAAAGTACACAAAACAAACAGACAGACAAACAAGCAAGAAACCGTATTTCTGCTGTTGTAAAAAGTTCAAAAACTTGGCTTGAAAATCATCTGCTGGAAGTGGCAACATCCTTTTTCTGCAGGTGGTTTTAATGCCACGCAGCCCAAGGACAAGCACCCAGCAAGGTAAAAAACAAAAATAAAACCCCAACAACAAGTAATAAGGATATAGAAAGTGCTGCATAAAAACCCCTGACGCACCAAAGATTATAACGGGAGACCACAGATTTTATACAGATATGTGTATGCGCGTATATTTATGTTTACACATACATACGCATATATATATGTATATTAACTTAAAACTGGGACATTCTGCAGCCATGAATATAGCCGTTTAAAAAACTTCCGAGCGGACCACAAAACTCATGGGTTCCTTGCGCCGCGTGGGGCTCCACGCGCACACTCCATGGGCAGTATTTCACATAAACGGATTACTAGAAGACCTCCTCGCCGAGGAGGAGATCCCAAATGCTATTGTAGCAAACCTCCCTCAGCCTCGGAGCTGAACGGAAACCTGCCGGACGCGGMCGCGGCCGAGATGCCACACGCCTCAGTAGCCCAGCTGGGATTTCTCCACCAGGATGGCCGCCGCCAGCTGCTGGGCGTCCGTCACGTGCGGGTTCTTCTTCATGACGACGCGCACCAGGTCGGGCGGGAAGATGTTGCACAGGTTGACGTAGACCTTCTCCCGCGTGTCGTGGGGCCTCGGCGGCTCCGGGGGCAGCCCGCAGTAGGGCACGCGCCAGGGCTGCTCCTGCTGCTCCGGCAGGCTCTGGAAGGCGAACTGCTCGTAGCAGGGCTGCGTGGGGTTGCTGGGCAGGGAGTAGGGCTGCCGGTAGCCGTACGTGTCCGCGCCGTAACCTGCCCTCTCCCAGCTCCCCAGCGCCTCCTGGCCGGAATAAGGCTTCCTGTGCCGCGCCGGGGAGCTGTCATACAAGCGGGAATCGGAAACGCTGTCGATCCGYGTGGCCACCAGGGCTCTGCCCAGGTGCATGGGCTTGGAGTGCGCCGCGCTCTGCGCCGCGGGGTAGTCGCTGGGGCAGCTGGCACGGGCCCCGACGGCCGGGTGCTGCAGGTGCACGGCCAGGTACGGGACGGGAGGTTTGTGGTGGGGCTTTGGTTCTTCGTGGCTGTAGCTCTGCACGCGTGTTAGAGGCTCGTGGTAGCTCTGTAAGAAGGGCTGGGAGTTAAGGCGCCCGTGGGGGTGCATGTGCTGGCACTTCAAGTTCTCTTCCAGCTGGGGGTCGGGGGAGCTCACGTAGGAGCGGTCGCTGTAGCCCACGTAGGAGTCACTGCTACCACAGCTCACGCTCCCTTCACTGCTGCAGTCAGAGGCTACGGAGCTAATCCTGTAATCTGTGTCCAAGGAGAAGCGCSTCTCGGGGCTACGTGGAGCAGATATGCTTAGGTTTGAATAGGCATTCAGCATAGAGTAATACCCTACGTCCACGGGAGACTCACATTTGGGGTACTGGTCATAAGGCATTGGTGTTCCGTGATTTTTGGTTGCCATCATCACTGTGGGATACTGTCCCTGTGCTCTTTGATCCTGAGGTGGGAAGTGCACTCCRGATGGAAGGCCGTTGACTAAAGGCGCAGGACTTTGGGGTTTTGCAGCAGAGGAACTGGGTAGACTAACTAAAGAAGGTACAGACCTGGTTTCCAACTTGTTTTTGGTGGGAAGCTTTTCCTCCAAGTCCTGATAGACTTGAGTCCTTATACTAGGATCCGATTGCCTCTTTGGAGCAGCGCGCTTCAGCTCGGAAGCACCATCACTCTTAGTGCTGCAGGGGACACTATTGCTTTTCACCAGGCCTCCTTCACTCGTCGTTTTGGCAGCTGTGCTTCTAGACATGGCACGAAGTTCATCAGCTACGGATCGCTGAGGCTGATTTCCTCTTTCTGGATGATAGTATTTGCATTTGTGTCCATAGGTACATTTCTTCCCTATTAATACAAGATACAAATAAATAAACAAACAGAATCATTACACAATGGGAATGGCCTTCATTTAAAGGTCCTGCAAATGTTTTCATGTGTCACAGCATGAGATCTGAGATTTTTCTTGTACTATGGGAAAAAGAGGTGGCAATGTGCTGTAGTTAGTGCCCTAAGCAGACAAATCACTGCTTTTGTCTGAGCGTGGTGCTGTACAGCAACATATTTGGTGTATTGTGCCAAGGAGACCACAGAATCACAGAATGGTTGAGGYTGGGAAACACAAGTGGGAAACTTAATGCACAAATCCCACAGAGCTATAAGGCCAGCAGATACTCAGCTCAGTCAGAACGGTGGTGTGCCCATTGGGATGCTTAGAAACTGAACTTCAGGCTAACTAATCCATCTTCTGGAAGAAAACTTAGATGTCTTATGCCCTRAGCACATCAGAGAAGGGCTTTCTGGACCCTGCAGAATTTAGGTGTTGTTTTTGTATCTCCTCCTACCAGTCATTAACAAATGTTTCTTCTTTAGTTCATCTGGCAGATAAAAACATATTCCTTCACCAGCACTCRAAAAAAGAATCATTTCAGTTCCCACCAACTCCAGTGCTCAGTATTTTGAATGTTTGGAAGCTAAGACTATGATGTAAAACCTCTGTTTAAAAGTGTTTATTTTTGGTAGTGTTAAATAAAGCAGGAATTTGGTCCTCAGCCTCAACAGTAGAGAAAAATCAGAGCTAAATAAAATTGTCCCCAGTCTCAAAAGCTGAGAAAAATGAGGAGTTAAATAAAATTACCATATGGACATGGCTGCTTCTTATGTTCTGGTACAATAGGCTTCTTTCTAAGAAAATTGTCCAGACTTGGGCCGTGGCGGCCAAGAGGATCATCAGGAGGCATAAATCTATTAAAAAAAAAAAAGACAAAAAAAATGTTATGGAAACAAACAGGCTTTTCACAATCCTCATGCAAGACCAGAACCTCTTGACTGAGCCCCCGCACCACGGACTCAAATACTAACATTTTAAAACCTAAAACCTAAACCAGTGGTGGGGAAGCAAGAAGGCATCAACTTTTCAAACTGCCACAAGTAGATCTGCAAAAATCCCTGCATGTTTGTACTAAAGACTCCTTCCTCAACATGCAGGCACTCAAACACAAGTGCCTAATTGGCAGAGTATTGAGTCACTCCCACTACTAGAAGCCACGGGTATTTAAGACCAGTTGGTATTTATTCTGGGTGTACGAAAGCACCAAATGTGGATCTGAGCAGATGGTTTGAGCAGAAGCCTCCGGAGGGTCTTTCCAGCCTGAGCTGCTCTACGATACTGTGATTTGGGAGGAGGCCCTCAGAAATACCAGCTTAGTGTATCAAGAGAACAGCAATCCTAGACCTTAGCATACCTCAAATATAACATGCACTTTGACACATACCAAAAGAGGAAAACATATATTTTGACATATACCAAAAGAGGAAAACATAAAAGAGGAAAAAATTATAGAATTAAAAAAAAAATATAAAGAGATCATGGAAAAGCTCTGGCAAAAGAACAGAGTTCAAATGCTTTTAATCAGAAATCTATGATTGACCTTTTATTTTCTTAACATGTAACCTTTTTTCCTTAACATGTAAACCCTTTATTTTCTTAACATGTGGCTAATGATTTGGGCAGAAGCTAGAGAAACTACCACAAGTCTCCAAACTGTCCTTCTCTGTTATTTTAGCAGCACATATAAAGACAGAATGACTTACTTGTCATTAACAAATGAATACATCAGCAAACGTTCATCTATGAACTTCTTCCATTCTGGCTTCTCATTAGCTAGATCCCTGTAGTTGTCGTTGGAAACAATGATGCCATCGGACTCGAAAGCCAGCTTGACGATGAATCGGTCATCGTAGCAGACCACCCTTCTGCCTTGCACGCGACGCGACGGCGTGAACACGAGGATCTTCTCCTTCTCTAATTTCCGCAAGATTTCTTGGTCTACGAGGATTAAAAAAGAGATTTTTTTTTTTTTTAAAGAAAGAATATGTTTCTTTGATCTCCAAATACATTACATTTGAGGAAGAAAACTCAAGCATTTAGGACTAAATGCATCTGGAAGAGTTTTAGTCCAGCAGAAAGCTCTGGATGGATGGATACATCRTAATGAAGGTAAGTCAGAAGTCAATGGACAATATTGCCCAGAAATAAAAGAACTGAACCCAAAAAACAATTGCCCTCCCCTTGAGTCCATAACCCCTCCATAYGACTTTTAGCACAACTCAAGGGACMTTGTTCAATTTGTGCTGGTTAAAAGAAAGACTCCTTGTCCAAATGCCCATGGAAACCTCCTATGGTTGAGGAATAAATAATAATAAAAAAGATCCGTTTAATCTTATTGAATGTTTCAGTGAGTAGAAGAGCTTTCTCCAAAAGAGAGCTGCTAYGGGGCTATCTCCAACCCTCCTACAGTCAGGGGTTTCCTGTAGCTGAACCCCTTGGCCTCCTACATCTGCTTGTGGTTCCCATGAAGCAGCAGCTTCTGGAATAGTTCCAGTTGCTCATATGAACGTGGCTGCCYCATAAAAGTCCTTCCTCATCATGATGGAGCTGCCACTCCGTAAGTGCACCCAAGGACTAGAAAATTTGTATCCTGTTATAACACTCTGGCTCTTCATAAATTTTAAGTCACTTCTACACAGACCTCTGATGTCAACTTGTACTCATAAAGTTACAGAAAGAAACAGCRAACAGGTCTTTTGGTGATACTAGCAGCTCAGAATGCATTTTTCCTTGAAGAATATAACTTTTTATGGAAAAAAACCACTTAAGCAGATTTCTCTTTAATCCTGCTAAGTAAGTGCATTTAACATCTTGCACGATTCCTTCTTGCTCTCCACTGGAAGGTTGRACTAGATGATCTCTAGAGGTCCCTACCAAGCTTAACCGTTCTGTGATTCTGTCTTAAGCAAGTAACACTGCCCTCCCATCCCCAAACCAACAGCAGTTTTCCCTCTCTCCGTGAAACGTGGCGTAATAACCGTTTACATCTCAGGTAACTCAACTGTTCTGTAGCACAAGAAACTTGACAGGGAACATCTTGCGTCTAGGAAAAAAAAGACTCCAATGGGAAGAAATACTGCATTAATGTTACATGTGAGCAATGTATTTGATATACATGTTCATCTGTTTGCCAGGAAAAAAAAGATTTGAAATCCAGCCATTTTGTATTCATTCCCTATCCTCCCTCTYGTGGTGATAAGTTTGATGGAATGTGATATTTTTCCCCAGTAACAACAAAATACCTGCCAAGGTTGGTAGGTAACAATAAGAAAGATGTAGCTGTTCTTTAGACTAGGAAGTTTTCCATAAATACTCAGTTTAGAATCACCTTACATTAGTAATTTCACACTTTTTCAAAATACCAAATGTCCAAAAAAACCATCCAAATACCCACACAATCCATCTCACAGGGCTAGCAGCAAATGGGCCCTCCATCCTGGAAAGCACCTCTACTTCACATGGGACACAATAGCTAAGCTTAGCTCTGCTCTTTGCAACTCCATAAGGACACAGAGTAAACTCATATTTCATTGCTGGAGAACTTGTCAATGATCAATGAAAATTTTACAAGTCTCAAAACTCCTTCCTGGTCTCGTAGCCCTGTTTATGGCTCTTTATTGATAATTACAAGTCAATTCTAAATGGTCAAATCTTTACCACTTGGCTTTGCTGCTACTATTTTCTCATACTTCAAACACTAGCACTAGTGAAACAAGTCAGCAAGACACCTCTTACGATGGGCTGATACTTCCTTCTTGGGTTACAGTTTTATTTACGACCTTTGCATTAACGTTTAGTAAAGATTTCTCAGGGTACCTTCAAAGAAAGGCTCTACACTGCCCGTTATGAGGCAGCCACCCGGCGTTCCAAGTATCTTCTTGCACTAAAAAGGTATGTTCTAGTAGCAACCAAGTAAATGAAATGCAGTATTTTAAAGGTCCRTGGGAATACAGGTGAAAGTCAAAATGCACTTCTGTTTTCTTTGAGGAGTTGTAGCTACTCTTCTCATAAGCTCTTACCTTAATTAAAGGCAGTCATGTCTTCAAAAAGGAAAAAAAAAACCAAAACAACAGCCCCAAACTTAGTATATTCCTTTTTTTTTTTTTTTTTTTTTAACTACAGTATTCTTTTCTGCTTATACTTCAGGGCAGTAAGGATAATGATCCTCTAGCCTTCATAAAAAAAATAAATTTGATAAAGAAATAAAAACTTCCACCTATTTTTTTCCTGGAGAAAGATATTTAAAATAAAAATTTCCAAAGCTTTCTCACTTGTGAAAAGACCCAATCAAAAGAGGAACTTTTCCCTTTCTGTGAGGATAAACTCATTAATTCCAAGCACAARGCACAGGGATTCACTGCAGGTGACAGAGCAGTCTGGGAGGATCTACTCACCACAGGAAAGATCAGTCCAGTTCATCAAAACCAGAAACCTCTTCCCTGCCAATATCCCATGGGCACAGCAGCTTTTGAAAACGGCAATTCCAACTAATAAGCAGGAATTTTCAGGGARGCCTTACGAGGCAAGCAGCAGAGGTGGCTCTGCACAGGGCACCGTTTTGTCCTTTTCCCTCCAGAGGAAGGAGACACTGTCTCCTTCCAGAGACACTTTTTATTATCAAGATTTTGATTTTGGGTGATTTCTTCATTTCAGCAGTATAATTCGTGCAGCACAAGGAACAAAACAAACCAGTGAAAGCAACACTGAGCTTACCTGTGATAAGAGCATCAGGTCTCGACTGCTCTTTCCTCCACGCTGGCACAAACACTGTAACATCCTTGTGGCCTCTTTCCAAAAACCAGTCAACGGCCAATTTTATTCCTCGGCAAGAAAACACTTCTTTGTTCCCGTGGCTGAAACACACGTTAAAATCCATAATTATACAGCTTTGGTTTTGCATGGGTAAGTGGAACTGGGCATAACACAAATCTCCCCTTCTGAACCTTGCCCACACGTGGCCATCCCTTGCACTATGTGGAGGTCAACGAGAAAGTAAWTAAGAAGGGACCTTGCAGATTCCCAAGTCCACAATATGCTTACCTGGATAGCATATATAAGGCAAATATAAGCAGAGAGTTAACAGTTCTCCAATGTGTCACGTATAACACGTTTCCAGCAGGTCGAGGGAGGTGATCGTCCCCCTATACACAGCCCTGGTGAGGCCACATCTGGAGACTGTGTCCAGTTCTGGGCTCTCCAGTACAAGAGGGATGTGGAGCTGCTGGAGAGAGTCCAGCGCAGGGCTACGAGGATGATCAGGGGCCTGGAACATCTKCCCTATGRGCAAAGGCTGAGAGAGCTGGGCCTGTTCAGCCTGGAGAAGAGGAGGCTGAGGGGGGACCTGATCAGCGTGTATAAATACCTCAAGGGAGGCAGTGAGGAGGAGGGGGCGGCCTCTTTTCAGTGGTGGCCAGGGATAGGACTAGAGGAAATGGCCACAAGCTGAGGCACCAAAAGTTCCACAGGAACTTGAGAAAACACTTCTTGACAGTGAGGGTGACAGAGCCCTGGAACAGGCTGCCCAGAGAGGTTGTGGAGTCTCCTTCTTTGGAGATCTTTAAAATCCACTGGGATGCAGCCCTGTGCCACGTGCTCTGGGTGACCCTGATGGAGCAGGGAGGTTGTACTCGGTGATCTCTAGAGGTCCCTTCCAACCTTAGGGATTCTGTGATTCTATTATTCTACGATTCTATAACACGCAGCTTGGAATCTTGATGAGGAAAACAGTATGCTAGAAATACTGATGGGAAAGCGGGCAATTTATTTAGGAAATGCTGGTGGATGCACTGGATGCCTGGGGGAGAAGGCAGCAGGGGACCAGAGAGCAGAGCTCCGGCAGTGCGAAGCCTCCAGCTGCCACCCAAGCAGAGGAGGAATGAGCTGGGAGTGAGAGCAAGGCAGAGGGGTGGCAAGTGCTCAGCAAGACACATCAGATAAACCAGGGAGATGATCCAAAATCAGCAGGACCAAGCCAAGCTTTTGCAAATGCAGAGAGACAGAAGTTCAGCAGAATATGACCAGGCACGAGCAAAACACAAGACGCACGTCTGTTGTGCAATAGCTGCCTGAGGTAAGACAAGAGATGCAATTATTTCATTTTCCAAAGGCAGACGAGTCCTCAGCTGGCTTTTTCATCCGATTCTGGGCACCACGTATTACAAAAGAGCCAGATAACCTGGGAAGAAGCCCAAAGAAAGCAAAGCAAGGTCTGTGGGATGTTCTGTGGAGCAGGAAAGGTGCATGGGCAAGACAGGGTCCTGGTACTTTGCACCTGGCTTGCGTGTCCCTGTAGCACCTGAACTGCAGACCCTGCTCTCCAGAAAGGGGCCAGGCCCCTCTTGGCTCAAGCACTGATTTGAAACGGAACAATATGATGAGGACTACAAACATCGATCCTAGAAGTTCCTCCTACTTGCATGTTTCAAGGTAAATAAACCAGCAGCAAGTTATTTATTTTTGTTTTTTCAGGTCTTTCAGTGTAATGGTGAAATGGATGAAGTGCCACAATGATAGCAAGAAAAAAAAAATTCATAATGCAGAAGGCTACAAAGAAGATGGCAAACACATGTGTGAGTTAAATGYGTAACTATTCTATGTCCTCTTCTACAGACGCTGGAGATGGGAGCTGGGGACAGAGTCACACGCTAAAAAGTGTGTGCAACAGACTGCAAAAATCAAAGTTTGCAGATTACACTAGGAAATTAAGTCAGGAGCAAGAGATGCAAGTTTCTTAATATCTTATTTAGCTTTGAGTCTGCAACCCTTTGCAGTAAGAGTTAATAATAGAGGTGGGGAATGTAAAGAAGACAGAGCCAAGCTCTTCTTGGTAGTGGCCAGTGACAGGACAASTGACAACGGGTCCAATTTGAAACCCAGGCAGTTCCACCTGCATGTGAGGAGGAACTTCTTCCCTGTGAGGGTGCCAGAGCCCTGGAAGAGGCTGCCCAGGGAGGCTGTGGAGTCTCCTTCTCTGGAGATCTTCCCAACCCGCCTGGCTGCCGCCCTGTGCCCCGTGCTCTGGGTGTCCCTGCTGGAGCAGGGGGTGGGACTGGCTGATCCCTAGGGGTCCCTTCCAGCCTCAGCCAGTCTGTGATTCTGTAATTATGGTTCTGTACAGTAACATGCAACACACAGCGCAATAACACGACAGTAATAACAAAACATAGCAACACCTTTTTTTTTCTAGGTATGTATATTTGCTCTGGGTGGGGTTGGCTGTGAGGGCAGTAACTTGGGGCACTTCCCAGGGGCAGGAAAGCAGCCCAGGTGTGGGCAGGCACGGGAACGCGCAGGCGCCGGCGGGAAAGCAGGACGCCGAGCCCCYGCAGCCCCAGCGAGGAGCTGGCGCCGCAGCAGCCGCCTCCGCCGCTGCTGCCCCAACAGCTCCAGGCTTCCCAGCGGGCACAGCCACTTCCCACTCCTTCCAGGGAACAGGGCTTCTGTTAGAGCGCCTTGTAGAAATACAGCGTTTCCTCCTGAGAAGTCATTTCTGGAATGAAATCCTGGAACGCATGGAAACTCCTTCCCATTGCTCTCCATCGGGATGAAATTCCAGGCATGTTTTTAGAGCGAGAGGGAGGACCAGGCAGTTTAGGTTTCCTGGTTTCTCTCAAGCCCAATATAGACCACTAAAATCTTCCCAGCTAGAGCATAAATACAAAATACACTTAATTTCTATATGGGGGTGTGTGTAACAGAAATAGGAAATTATTATAATGCCGGCTAACTTTCCTGCAGTGCTGAGCAAGGGGATTTAGAGGTCACAAAATCTTCACATTTTTTCCAGACAYGAGACCTAACTTTGGATCTGAATTGATAAAAAATCCAAAGAAATTGAAATGGCCTTCACAGAGAGAACGCCTGCGAAGATGTGATTAGAATTTGCCCATTTCTTCTGTATTGTTGCTCTGCAGACTCAACGCTCTCCTTCGTGCAGCCTTTCTGCTCCATCAGCTTTACGATGCATCGTATGATAAAAAGGAAATCAAGCTTCTTCCTTTATTTTTTTCCTTCTGATTAGTTGGAAAAAAAAGAGCATAAATGTTTGACTTCTTTGTGTAGAAGGATATTTTTAATATCTCTTCCCAGATAACCGAAGTATATGAAAGAGTAGAAGTCTCTGAAAGCTGAGAGCGTTCAAGGTGAGAGCAGTAAGAAAGGTTGAGACATAGGACTGTTCTGCTTTGGTTCCCTTTCTCGACTATATTTAATCTACCATGATGAAGGGAAAGGTAGATCAAGAATACACCTTAAGAAATATCTAGTTCACTTTCATATGAAGCATGAATATTTTTTTCTTGCCTTTTTTTAAAACKGTCATTTTTATACTTGGCCCATTGCTAGCTGTGGTTTTATTGTTAGAGGAGAAGAAGCAGCACCACACTGCAGCCTTCCTGAGCAAAATCAATGACATGTTCTCTAGGCTGGCACAGTCACCAGGAAGGTGGTGTCTGATGAGAACATTCTCATTTTCCTGCTGCCTTCCCAGACAGACCCCAGACCAGGTTTTCATGAGACTAAGTTGCTGAAGAGGGGGTTAATGTGCTCCCACAATGCCAGCGACGCACTGGTGTAGCTGGAGCTATCACATTTTGAGAACTAAAGAATTCCTACACGCTGGCTTTATAATGGCAAGAGACAGCAGAGCCAAGGTCTAAAATACAGTTTGCAGCAATGCACATGCAGGCCTTTATCCAGTGGAAATCTGTTACACATTCAGACACCTCCGAGGTGAACCTGTATGGATTTACCAGAACGAAAATGGGTATCAGTCCAACGATAAAGAAGTGCCAAACTATTTTCTTCCATGCTGTCACAGAAGGAAAACAGTGCTTGGCTGCCAACAGAGAAATAAATAATTTCCACCGTGGATCAGATGAGTGACTCATTAGCCTGGCAGGAGTTTTTTGTTGTTGTTTTCCTTAACCTCATCTTTAGCTTTTTTAAATGAGTTGCACTAATTTCCTAACCACAGCAATAATTTGTACCAAAGCATCTCAGTAACCCAGGCCTTCCATCAGGCTTSCATTTGCTCCTTACATACATGTTTGGGGGGGAAACGTGGATASGGAAGGAAGTCACACTCAAAGCTGCCAGTATCAAGCTCCTATCCACATGATCGTTACTTGCTGGAAAAATACTCTTATCCATTGACTTCTCAATACAAATTAAGAACCAAGTCAGAGCACGGAGAACACACTGCATCAGACTGCTGGTGTCACTGCGAGAGGAGCATCTGAAACGAGGTGCTGGGACCGTCAAGCTCCGCACCGGCGTGTGAGAAGCGGCTGATGGGGTTCAATYGTCACCGTGCACTTGCAGCTGAGTGGTTAAATGGAAAAGATACCTGGCACAGGTGAGACAACCAACCCATCCCTTGGYGACACTGCCTGGAGAAACCTATGGCTGTGACAGAATTCCCAGGCACAGAGGGTTTGGGAGGACCTTTCACTGCCACCCAATGATGTGACCCATGGTCTGTGCATGGGGATCAGGACCCAGCGGGGTGTCCCGTGTCGCTGCAGCACCTTGGGGTGTCTCACATGTCCCCCAGCTGCCAGTCCTGTGTGATACGGGGGTCCCTCCCCGGGAACTGCAACCTTGGCATACACGGAAATCATCCAGCTGCCAAGGAAGGCCATGAGCACAGGGAGAGATTCATTTCTGCAGCAGGAGCACATTTAGCTAAAAACAACGACCCAAGGCAACACCTTCCTCTTCCAAAGAGCAACCGCACAGGCCRGGGCTATTTCAGCCTGCCCCTTCTTGGAGCAGCGAAGCACCACCGCGCACAATTCAATACACAATACATTCAATATGTTTTTTCAAAAGGCAACAGTGAAGCKCACTACCT